TGGAAAGCTATGTGTTATATCTATCAACTATCCACATAAAATAAAAATATACATTTATAAATATTTGCATAAGTTAAAAATTAAGCTTTTGTGTTTTTGTTTAAGCATGATATAAAAATGAATGAATGGGTAGTCATCATAATTGACAAGTATATTTATAATGATCTGATTTAAAATGTCAGTTAAGTGCCCTATTCTAAAATGTAAGTGAGGTAAAGACAGGTGGCCATCTTCTAGCTGAAAATGGAAAATAGGAGGAATAAGTGGATGCTGATCAAAAACGTCAGGCCATGTGTACTAAGGACCAAAATCATCATGTCATCAACTGGGGTTTCCAACAGAAGGCTGAAACTAGGAGCCTTACAGGCAGGTACACTAACCTTACAATTGAACTGTTACATCTCTGAACAATTATGAAGAATGCCCTAGGGCAGTGGTTGGCAAACTGCGGTTCGGCAAACCGCGGCTCACGAGCCACATGCGGCTCTTTGGGCCCTTGAGTGTGGCTCTCCCACAAAATACCGACTTCTGCGCATGGGCCAAGAAGTTTCAATCACACTGTACCTGTGCGCCCGCACATGGTATTTTGTGGAAGAGCCACACTCAAGGGGCCAAAGAGCCGCATGTGGCTCGCGAGCCCCGGTTTGCCAACCACGGCCCTAGGGTGAATAGTAGTAGGCATCACTTCATTTAACAACAGTTAATGAGAGGATAGTGTGTTATAGATACATATGCCTTTCTGAAGATCCTCCTTCATTGATTCTCAAATTTAAGATTCCTTTTAAAGAAAAAAGAAGCGTGGTCCTCTGGTGTTGACTTAAATTATTTTATTATAATGTTACTTAAATGATACATATAAAACTTACATAAGCAATGGCAAAGTTAAATAGAATCCGAGAAAAAAATAAAAGCAAAACAAAGCCAATAAAATTAAACTTGAATGCATTTGTTAAATGTAATTGCTGGAATTGTTTGGCTGAGATCCAGTAACTGCTTGCAACATGAGTAGGGTACTGACGGCACAAAGATTCCAATGCAATCATAAAGCCAACTGCAAGCAAGCACACCGCGATAGTGATCTTTTGCTTTGTAACAAATGCCACAAAACTCAGTGGTGTAAGACACCAACAATCTTTCTTTCTCATGGTTTCTTAGGGTCGGAACCCGGGAGAGGCTCAGCTGGGTAGTTCTGGCTTGGAGTCTTTCATGCGGTTGTCGTCAGATGGTGGCTGAGGCTGGGGTCATCTTTAAGTCTTTACCACTCACTCCCAGGCCTCAGAGCTGGGCTAGAGAGACTTGGACAGTTGTGGCTCCTCTAGCAACTTCTATGCAGTCTTTCCATTTGGTCTGTGCAGCGGCAGCTTCAGGAGAACCAGATTTCTCCAGGATGTTCCTGGTGCATGTGCCAGAGAGAGCGGGTGGAGTCCTATCTCCTTTCCTGGCCTAGCCCCGGAAGTCATGCAAGGTCCCTTTGCCTCACTCTGTTCATTAGTCACAAAGTCCCGCCTGGGTTCAAGGAAAGGGAACTTAGACTCCATGTTTTAAAGGGAGGAGTGTGAGAGAATTTGCAGTACATTAAAAACCTCCAGGTATTGAAATCACGCGGCTTTATTCAATTTTAAAAGATTCATGTACATGATTCAGTATGTGCTTTCATCTCTTTATAAATCTCAGAGGGAATTCACAGAACCCTAATCAAAGGCCAGCCAACTCCCACTGGTGTGTGGACCCCAATTTGAGAAAAACTCAGTTATGTACCAGTTAAATGGCATGGAATGGAGGTTGGCTTAAGTCGTGGGGTAGGAGATAATGGACTTAAAGAAAGAGCAAGAGAAGAGAAGACAACCGGAAAGTGTTTTGGGAACTAGCGAAGCGGAAGGACTTGTATGCCTGGATGACTCTTGTCTCTATAAAAGCCTTTCCCTTGTGCTGAAGGATGGTTGAGGGCCGACTCCACAAGTAGCTGGGACTTGGTGTCAGCATCCTTCAGTGCTCCTTCATGACCCAGTAAATACCAGTCATAGTAAACAAAACGCTCTTTTAGGTGCTGGGGATATGGGAGAGTAATGCAGTCTTAATCCTTGGAGGTCTTCTGGGTCTAGGGGGGAAGGCAGGCATTAACAAAAGTATTACAGATATAATAAAAGCTACCAAAAGGAAACGAGAAGGTTCTGTGGAGATACTAAATTAGTTGGGGAGGAGAATGGAACAGAGAATGACCTGTAAGCCAACCCCCAGAGAAGGAGAAGGCGATAACTAGGTGGAGGGGAGGTAGGTGGGGAGTTTTCTGGCTTTTTTAAATGTATGCTTTCAACCACTGTATATCTCTTGCTTCAAACATCACACAAGAAAATTGTGGCTACCACTCAATAGATGTCTGGACCATAAAAGAACATTGGTGGGTAGAATATGAATATGCTTATAAATTCATATTTTTAAATTATTTGGTGATCCACAAATCCTGGTAAGGCATGAAAGGAAGCAGATGTTCCAATGGCTTGAGTCCATCCTCTGTTTTCATCATCTCATGAAGGCAGACCATTGGGACCTAGATGGTGTGCAGACTGGCTAGCTGTGCACAGGAGGCTCATGCTGGGGATTCCAGGCAGCAGAGCTTTCCGTCCATCAGCAGTTTCTCCAGCTCCATTACTAAGGGGTCAGAGAGAGCAGCTCATCTCCCATTGACTTCAGAAGGCGCCTGGGCCTGATGTCTCTCATTTCACAGCTTTGCTTTCCTTCTATTTCCTTTGTTGTTGGTAGGACTCCCAATACTTGAAGAGAGGCTCTGCTATTCCACCCAAAACACAAGGGCCCTGAGAGCATGGTCAGTTGGTTGGAGCATCATCCCGTGCACTGAAAGGTCATGGGTTCCATCCCAGCTCCAGGCACATACCTAGGTTGAGGGTTCAGTCCTAGTTGGGCCACGTACAGGAGGCAACCAATCGATCTCTCTCACATTGATGTTTTTCTCTTATTCTCTTTCTCTCTCCCTTCCTCTCTCTAAAGTCAATAAAAATATCCTCAGGTGAGGCTTAAAAAAAAAGAAAGAAAATAAAAAACTTCATGCTTTAAGAAAAAAACACACACAACACAGAAGGAAGGGGGAGGCAGACCCTTCTTGCCCCTGACTGACAATTCAGGTGCCTGCACGTCCGTCTCTATGGGGAGAGTGTCTTAAACCACACGCGAAGGGGAGGAAGGGTTCCTCAGAGGTCCCAATGCCAGGGCTGAACTTTCTCCTCTCTGGCCCCATGTTGTCTTGGGCACAGTTGGCATAACTAGCTTTCATCTACCTCTTATATTTGAGATAACAATTTTATCCCAAATGACTGAGATATGGCCTACAATTCACCCATGAAGTTGCCATTATCTGGAGGGAAACAGTCTGTGTGCTGGCTTTGTGTTAATGAAGGGCTCTGAGGAGGGGTGTGTGTGAATAATTAGATTGGAAGCTGGCCACAGGGACAGACATTACCCCTTTAATTTCTGAACTAAATTGTGGAGAGGTCCAAGAGTCCTGAGGGGAGAAGGGGCTAGTCTCAGGATGGTACAATTTGCTAACTGGTCTGGACATACTCTTTTATTTTTAATCCTCACCTGAGGATATTTTTCCCATTCTCTCTCTCTCTCTCTCTCTCTCTCTCTCTCTCTCTCTCTCTCTCTCTCTTTTTAGAGAGAGTGGAGTGTGGGGGGGAGAGAGAGAGAGATCAATGTGAGAGAGACACATCGATTGGTTGCCTCCCGCATGCACACCCTCCTCCCCCACTCCCACCCAGAGGCCAGGGATCAAGCCTGCAAGTGAGGTACCAGGTACATGCCTTTGCGGAAATTGAACTGCAAACCTCTGGTGGGCGGGCTGACCCTCTCACCACTGAGGAAAATGGCTAGAGCTGGAAGCATTTGGGAAGTTTAACAGAGGTGCCTCTGGGAAGGCAGTGCCTTCTGTTAATGAGCACAAGGCAGTGTGTGCTGCAAAGGAGCTGGTGTGGCAGAGCTGGCTTTCAGGGCCGCTCCTGTGACTCACCATGTCATCTCCCTCAACCTCAGTTTCCCCATCAGGCTAAATGACGTTTGAGCTTCTTTCAGTCATTTTTACAATTATAAAGCCATAATTCCAGTCACCGTTTTCGTTCTTAACACACAAAATTTCAATGTGAGGGGGAAAATGGGTACATGGGTAAATTACAATTGGTTATACAGTGGTAGAAATCTTGGGAATTTAGTGGCCCATTTCATTGAAAGCTCCAGGAAATGTGTTGATTTCAGGCGTTGCTAGTTCAAGTTGCTTAAATATTTTCATGAGGACTTGCTCTCTCCCCAGCTTTCAACCCATTTCTACTCTCTTTTGGATTTATTTTCAGGGAGATTTTCCCCAAGTGGTGGTTAAGAAGTCCACTAGCAAGTAGGCTTTCATTTTATCAATTTCTCAACCCCAGCAGATGAAGAACACTTCTACTTCAAATCATGCCTGCAAAATCCCAGGTCTCATGGCCCAGCCTGAGGAATGTGTCCTTCTTTGAATTCCACTGAGGCCAAGGGACACAGAGCTCTGACTGGCTGGGCCCAGGCCACAGACCATCCTCTTGAGCCAAAAGGAAGTATTAAATTCAAACTTCACACATTAACAATAGGCGGAAGGTTGGTTGCTCCAACGAAATTTGGGGTTTTGTTCCCAAGTGAAGTCAGTCAAATCCAGCTGGTCCCATTCCAAACAAGGATTTAGAATAAACAAAACCATCAACACACATGTGCCCACAGAGATTTATCTGGAAACTTTAGTGAAGCAGGAAAAACAAGGTGTTAATCTTGATGAATCATTTTGATGTGCTCTGTCTTCGAGGTTCACTGGTCGAGCAGGCCTTGTCTCTGTTGACTTACTCTGAGCCTGGTGTTGAGCGAGGAGCTGAGCACAAGGAAGGAGCAGGCCCTCCTGGACTCCTGGCCAGTGTGTGACTGAGAGGGGAAACATGCCACAACTTTGTTATCTTGCTCTCCATCAGGGATTTCTACATCCAGCATTCTTCTCAAACAAGCCGCTGATCTGCTTCTTGCCCTTTGAAAGCTGATGGCTCCGCTTCCAAGTCCCGTGGCTGGCAGGCAGATTATGAAACGGGATGCACCGTCAGAGACGCAGGTATGAAATCTGAACTGCATGGCCTCACGTAAACCCCACCAGCGCTCTGCCGAGGGCGCCGTTCCCTTCACCAGGTGTAAGGACAGAAGGCCCATTGTCCTTGGGAGCCTATAAGATAAATGGAAAGATCGAGTCCTTGCTGGTTAATCTGCTGGTGATAACGAGTATTGTTTTATCTCCTGCCATCTCCCTGTTCCAGGGGATGAGTTCTATTGTGACACAAAGTCTGCTTTGTCTTCCCAGCCCAGCAAGACATTTAACCTGACCTTTCCTCTAACCTGGGTCATCACAGCCTGGGCAGAGTTGGTTGGTCTTATGCATTGAGAGAACTATCATCTAAAGAGATGCCACGATGCTGGAAAATAGCGTGATTCTCATCTGCTTTAAAAAAAAAATACTTTTTTGGAGCAGTTTTACTATTGACAGAGAAATTGAGTGGAATGTACGGCTCCCATCTCCTCCCTCAGCCTGCTCCCTGCCCCACGGTTCCCTGTTATTCACATCTTACATCCGTGTGCAATTGACGGCCAATAGTAATACATTATTAACTAAAGTTCATAGTTTACATGAGGGCTTACTCTTTCCATTGCGCACTCTTTGGATTTTGACAGATGTACAATGACGAGTTCACCGTCTCAGTCTCACACGGGGTAGGTTCGCTGCCCTGCACTCCCAGGTCCCATGGTTTCCTGTGTCCCCAGGTTTGCTTTTTCCAGAATGTCAAGTCATGGGACTCCTACCGTGTGTAGTCTTTTCAGATTAGTGTCTTTCACTTGGCAATACGCATCGGAGGTTCCTCCATGTCTTTTCATGGCTTGATAGCTCATTTCTGTTTCTTACTGAATAGCTTCTGCTTAATATGTAAAGCTTTCAGTGAATGAAAGCAATGGCATTAACGTACCTCTCACTTCCCCTTCACTGGCATCTTCATGATGGTGAGAGACTGCTAGCCATCTCCTACGTTTTGAAGGTGAGCTCACTGTGGTGCTGTTTGAAAGAAGCAAATGCAGACCAGCTTCAAGTACTTTCCGTGAGGCTATAGAAATAAAGAGTAAACTCCAGCATCTCCATCGCAGCCCCACTAGAGAAGGTCTGTTCAGGCAGAGGCAACATTGGTGTTCTTAGCATTTTATCCAAAATAATTTGTATCCATAGACTTTGTGTTTTCCCTAAAATAAATGATTTCCTAATTTTTTTCTTCTGAGGTCCCACTTACTTGGTTAGTAATATCATTTGTTTTTAATACATGAAGCAAACATTTTTTTTCTTTATTTACATTTCCTGAACAGAGTCCACTTGGGCCACACGAAGAGGCGCTCCCACTCACTTAGCTGGTATTCGACAGTCACGCAGGTACAGGCTTTAGAATTCCAGGGAGTGAGTTAGCGTCCCGACTTTGCCCCTGACTACCTGTGTGTCTTTTTATAAGTAATTTCTCCTCTCTTGGCCTCCATTTGCTCTTCAGTAAAACACGACTAAAAGTAGGCTCTTCCTTGTAAGACTTGTAAAGATAGGGAAGGAGATAAGCCATGGAGAGCTTTAAGCACAGTTTCAACAAAAAACTTCCTCAAGCGTCATCCTCCCCACACCAGGCAACTGGCCTTTGTGTGTAGAGGAAATGCTGAATACAGTGTAGATGCTCATTAAATTATTCCTGACTGACCAAGGGGGCAGAGGAAGGGCAAATCCTATCATGTGTGCGCTCTCGGAGCCACAGTCCAGGAAGCGACTTAATTGGGGTCAAGCCTGATGGCAGCGATTAGGCGCCCTGTGCAATCTTATGGAACCAAGGACACCACTGCTAGTACCTTTTGTCTCTGCCTCACATTCTCCTCTCTCCACCCTCAGAAAGTCCATTTCCTGAGCAAGCGCCACTGACACTGAGGGTCCTTCTGACTTTGATTTAATTTAGCTTTAAATCCTAGCTCTAGAAATCACCTCTCTCTGTCTATACCCCTCAGAGACCTAGCCTTTCTCCAGATAATCAGCAACCCCTGAGGCAGCGGAAGACAGGAGCCAGGCCTGACTAATGGTCATGGGCCTGGGCCTCCGGCAGGATAAAAGTAACACCCTGACCTGGGCCAGGTTTCAGCTCCTGAGCCCTGAGGTGGAACGACCCCCTGGCTGCTTCCTCGTGAGACAGACAGAGGGACAAGGGAACAGACCTCAGAGCTGTCCTCACGACCTGAAGATTCATCACCCTCACCTCAGCTCTGATGACTCAGCTCCCAGCACAACCTGAAAACCCGAATCCCTAACCCACGGTGCCTTGTGATTTTGCCTTATATGACCTGTATCTTACAGGCTGCCAAGGGGTTCAGGCTTTGACATTGGCTTCCTGTTCTCCTGGGTGGCGCCATTCAGGATAAAATAGCCAATCTTTCTCCACTGCGGTCCTCAGTGTCTAGTGTTTGGCTCTGCTAGGGCCGGGTGGACCGGCTCTCTGTTCTTCACCCTGGCCTTGGTAAGGTGATTGGAGGACGGCCTGGTTTCCAGGTTTAATGAACCATTTCCTAGGGGACATTCTCATTCTGTCTCTCCTTCTTCCCCCTCCCCGCCACTCCTCTCAGCTGAAACAACTTATCAACTAACAGTTGTTGGGATCCAATGGAGCAAGAAATCTCAGTCCCGAGAGCTAAGTGTCCCGTGGGCATCATTTTTCATCTTGCTTTTACTTTTTACTCACTTCCATCATTTCGCAGAGGCAAACTCCTTGCCAGAGGCAGGGTAAATAAACGCAGACACATCCTGTCTCCCTTACATCTTTGTTTATCCATTAGCTGTCAAGGATACAGATGAAAACTCGCTAAACCGTGCTCCAAGCAGTTCTACAAAGGCCCAAGGAGACCCAGGCGGGAAAGTCCATTGCAGGGGAAGAGAGCTCCTGAAATGATACCGAGCTGGCTCCCTGTGATGACAAGAATAAAAACTAAACACACCCACAAAGGTGACCAACTGTCTCAGCTAGGAGTGCACACTATTGTGCAAAAAAGCATAAGAAGGAGACACAGAAACAGTGCTGTGAGGAGTCTATGAGCAGGGAAAGTGCTTGAGCTGAGTGGTTCTCAACCTTCCTAATGCCACGACCCTTTAATACAGTTCCTCATGTTGTGGTGACCCCCAACCATAAATTTATTTTCGTGGCTACTTCATAACTGTAATTTTGCTACTGTTATGAATCGTAATGTAAATATATGGTATGCAGGATGTATTTTCATTGTTCGCGACCCACAGGTTGAGAACCGCTGGAAGAGCATAGACTGTGAGTGGGAATGCGGGTCTGAGCCCTGGCCCCACCTTTCGCCTTTTCACCTTTAAATGGAGGACAACGCATTGGCCTACTCCAAGCCTCACTTTCCTCAGCTGTAAACTGGGATAAATTAGTATTCACCTCAGAGATTATTGTTTGAAGACTTGATGAGATAAAAAATGTAAAAGCGAATCAGGGAAAAGGGAGTCATATGTAATACTTTAAACAATAAAAATAAATAAATAAATAAATAAATAAATAAATAAATAAAAGCACTTGGGAAGGCTTGGCTCCGGTAGACATTCTCTGAGAGTTCGAGGTGACTTTTCAGATGTCAATAGGACTGAGGATCAGGGCCCGGAGCAGGCAGTGCTGCCCCGACTATGCCACATCAAACCTTGTATGCCAGGGCCGCCCGTGAGCTTAGTGTTCTGCAGAAAACAATTTGAGAAATGCCACCTTCAATACATAAAACTGAGGACTCTGGACCGGGGATGTCCGTCTTGAACATCCTGTTTAGAAAGTTAAGTTTGAAAGCAATGCGTGTGGTTATTTCTGTAACATTCAGGGCATCAGATTTTGGGATCAGGAAGGCATCCTCAGTGCCATCCTCATTTCTATGGAAAAATCTGATTTCATGCCCATCACACCTCGTCACAGTTGCTTTTCTGGGACCCCAGTGCAAACGAGGCCTGCCTACTCACACTGGGTGCAAGCTGTGCAAAGGGTGGCCCTCCCTCCTCACCTAGACCACTAATGGCGAACCTTTTGAGCTCGGCGTGTCAGCATTTTGACAAACCCTAACTTAACTCTGGCGCCGTGTCACATATAGAAATTTTTTGATATTTGCAACCACAGTAAAACAAAGACTTATATTTTTTGATATTTATTTTATATATTTAAATGCCATTTAACAAAGAAAAATCAACCAAAAAATGAGTTCGCGTGTCACCTCTGACACGTGTGTCATAGGTTCGCCATCACTGACCTAGACAGCAGGCCTCTGTCTACCCGCCCGCTCCTGGGTCAGGGTTTCCCCTGCGACCAGTGCACACAGAGCCAGGGCCTCCCCGGGAGGCAGGAGGAGCCTGGCAGCCGCATCCTGCCTCTGGAGAGGAGAGCCTGCACGCAGAGAATGGATGTTTTATGATCTGCGGGAGGTGGATCATACAAGGTGCAGGCTCACAGCTTGATTTTCCGTGCGTGTGTTTTTTTCTTTAAGCAAGGAAGCTCAGCAGTGAAACTCATTTTCCACAATTCCCCAAGTGGTTTTGAAATAAATCTGTGAATTTAATCAGCCTCCTCTGTTGAGGCAATCTCTCCTAATTGGGTCCTTGTGAGGGACAATAGACATGAGGACAAAAATACTTCATCTCTGGAAAGGAAGCCAGAGTCCCATCCGAAGGACTGACAATAAATCTCCCATCCCCCAAAGAAACGGAGCACAGGCTTCCGGGCACCTGGGCACCAGGCTCACACATCCAGGTAATGTTGGTTTTCTAGTCCATCTTTCTCCTCCTTCCCGGCCAACATCAAGAAAATGAAAATCCCGAAATGAAAATCCAGTGTCTCCAGTACCATATTGGCTAGCAACCAAGTGGACTACTCAGTAGGCAGCTGGGAGTCTTCCTGAAAATTGCAATGGAGTAACGGGGAATTGCATGCGAAGTGAGAGCAAAGATGGAACACAGAATCCAAACAACAGGAGTTGGTTTCATTTCTCTTTCGCTGAGAGTCAATTCGCACTCCGGTGTCCATCCTGGCAGTAATGGTGGGGTTTGGAAGGGGCCCCCTCCAGAAATGTGACACACACAGCTGTTGGCCTTCAGCCAGCCAAGAGACCTAGTGGAAAAAGTGGGGCGATGCTTCATGTTCCCCGATTATGGGACAAATATGATCTCTGGATCTAGCTGGCATCGGTCCTAGCGGGGTCAGGGGTTGAGAGAGAGGAAGAGAGAGAGAGCTCCCAGAATTGGAGGCAGGACTTTCTCTGAGGGGTTGGAGAGCAACCTAGATTTTTTCATCCTGGAAAATGAGAGAAGCGAAGCATGCTAATTGAATTAGAAGTGGAGGAAAAGGAAGAATTTCACAAGGATGTCATCTGTCTCAACTCTATCCAACTTACCCTGGCCTTCCAGCACCCTGTCCATTCCCTGGATGGGAGAGCAGTCCCCACACATCCTGTCCTCTTGCCTGTTGTGGCCACTGGCGTCAACAGATCGTCTTGGTGATAAAACAAGAACTCACCTGTGGTCAGTGGACACAGGCCCCAAACTGGAGGCAGGGCTGTGAAAAAAAATGCCATCTTCCCTGCAAATCGGGCACAAACATTGGCTGGAACAACAAAAGAGCTAGTGTGCTTCAAGTCTGTAGCCGCAGGCCCTCACTAGCATGTGAATAGGGGCACTGATGGGGCAGAAATGCAATAAAATCCCAGCCTCCCTCTTTCAGCCCCGACTTGTGGTTTCTCCGCTTCCTCCCACTGGGCAGCTTCAGTATGAATTGCTCCCAAAACCAACAGTAAAATTTAACCACCACTCCTTGCAGGAAAAGAAGAAATCCTCATCTCTTTGGGGAATTTTCTTCTGGTGCAAGTCTTGCTGACTTTGGCATGCCTCTCATGCACACACACACACACTGTGGGGGTTTCCAGATGATCCTCCTATGCAGACCAGGGCTCTCAACAAAGTGTGGTCCCTGGACAGGGATCGGAATCACCTGAGAGCTCATTAGAAATGCAAACTCTTGGTCTTTCATAGTCCTACCCAATCAGCTGTGGGAACTGGGCCCCGCTGCTGTGTTGTCAGGAGCCTCCAGGTGATTCCAATGCACACTTAAGTTTGAGAACCACTGATAGAGGCTGATCATTTCCCCAGAATTCCTCACATTTTCATGCCTGTGCGTTTTGTCCTCCCATTCCCTGCACTTGGCGGGCTTCTCTCTTTTCTGCCGAGCAGGCTCGTCCCCAAAATACCCTCTCTTATTTGTACGCCTCCCTGACACCATCTTCTCCACCTAAGTAGAATTAATTGCCCCTTATTTGTGTTCTGACAACACTTCAGGCAGCCACTAATACATTATATCACAGTCATCATATATCCATTTTCTAAACCAGGCTGAGAGAGCGGGAAAATGTCTAATTCAGCAAAGATTGTGTACAAAAGACCATGGGCCTATCATTAAGTTAGTTCTGGTGATACCAAAATAAAATAACAAAAATCGTGGTGAAAAAGTGGGACACTGCCTCCTTTACCTGCCTCATTGCTGCCAAGTGAGATTTCAAATCTCTGGCCGAGTCTCACTCTGACATGTGCTAGCTGTGTAACTGTGGGCGAGTTATTCAACTTCCTTGACTCTCCCTTCCTCTCTCTAAAAATCAATTTTAAAAAATCTGATGCTTGTGTCTAACTCCCAAATGAGAGTAAGGAATTGCTAATAGTATGAACCTCAGCATTTATGGGATGATTAAATTAAAAATATGTTTACAACACTCAGCATAGGACCTGCTCAGAATAGGTACTCAGTGAGTGCTGGTTGCTATTGCTAATTAAAATAGTTCCATCATCCCATCACTAACAACTTGCATTGTGCTTGGTACAGAGGTGAGCGTACTTTCCAGCACCCTGTAGCCGCAAAATTCTTTGTGAATTTTAAAAGATCAGGACTCTAGGCTTCTCTACTATACTTTCTGGGACACTTGCCACTCATATTATGAGCAAATATGACTTTACATAGAGTGTCTCATAAGATATGCGGAAAGGAGCAGAGGACTTTTGCGTTGCCTCCTTGAGTTGCCTGGTGCAAGGATCAATGAATACTGAGACTCCTGCTGGAGGTCTGTTCACCCCCCATCCACTCACACCACCGTTAAACTATGATTGGTTCTCAAACTTGATTTCACATTAGAATTGCCTGGGATGCTTAAAAAAAACCCCAAAAACTACCCCGGCCATGTGGCTCAGTTGGTTGGAGCATCATCCTGTACACGAAAAGGTGGTGGGTTCGGTTCCCAGTCGGCACATGCCCAGGTTGTGGATTTGATCCCCACTTGGGCACATGCAAGAGGCAACTGATCAATGTTTCTCTCTCTCTCTCTCTCTCTCTCTCTCTCTTCCTTCCTTTCTCTAAAAATCAATTTTTAAAAATCTGATGCTTGTCTAACTTCCAAATTAATTGATATGATGTATCAATTGATATGATGTATGTACTGGACTCCCAGGTGATTCCCATGTGCAGCCATAGTTTCTACCCACTGTGGCTCATGATGAGTAATTAAGAAACTGTGAAGGTCTTGCCATTTTTCATTAAATTAAGGTATGGTGAGACCGCTGCTGGTGTTGTGAGCATAGTAAAACAAATGAAGGATCTATAGAAGTGTGCTGTAAGGTAACATTCAGCGGGGTAGGACTTCTGGAATAGAATGATGCCTAAATCAGGTGGCATCAGGAATAGCATATTGATGAAGCTGGTAGCAGCTGAATGGCCCTTAACTTTCAATTTTGTCTCCCAGTTTACACAGCTCCCCCCTCATGCCCTCACTCTGGGCAAACCAACCTCATCCATCCATACTGCCCCGGAGGACTGGACTACAGGAGGGGAGCCTCCTGTCAGCTGGACTCCGAGCTGCGGAAACCCTGGGCAGACACTGAGCCTGCTGTCCTCTCAGCGCAATTTAGAGATTGTCTTGGGCCTGGCACCAGGAGCCCCGTGGATTAAGACTGCTTTTCCGGACTCCCCATCAATTTCCGACTGTTTCCCTCTCCTCAGCATTGCTTTTCCGATAAAGTAGCCCAAGTGTGATGGCCAGGGGTGGCTTCTTAGGACAGGGTCCCAGCGACACCAGAGCAGCTCACACAGCTTCCACTGGAAGCCACAGGAGTCCTCTTCCCAGCTCCGGCCAGGACCAACCGTGAAGTGTGTGGGTGGCAGAAAGCGTTCATTCAATGGTAACTGTGTGGGGAAGCACCGAGGAATTTTAAAAGGTAAATCATGCTAAAATGGCGAATGGGGGAAATCAAACAGTGAACAGCCTATGGTAGGCTTCACAATGGAAAGAGAATTCTTGTACCCACGACTTCTCGAGCTGTTACACAGCCAATTCCCTGTAAGTCACGCTGGTAGGGAAACACCAGCTCACTCACTTTCTTCTTTTTCCCCCTCTTTTCCTTTGCTCCTCCCCTTTCTTCATTTCTTTTTCCCAGTAGCATTTTTAGGAGCCAGGGAATATATCCTGGTACAGTCAGCCAAGAGGTGGGGAGGGAGGGGCACCTAACACTTCCTGAGCCTTGCCCACATGCCAGGGGCATTATGTAACAAAATCTCCTTTAATCCCCACAAGACGGGTAATACTATCTATTTTTTTCCAGATTAGGGAAGTCAGGCTTAGGTAATAGAGTGCAAGTTTCCAAGGAGGCAGAGCTCGCAGGCGTGAGAGCCGGGATTCCAGCTCTGAGCTCTGTGACTCTGAAGCGCAGTGTCTTCACATCACACTGAGCTGGGGACTGCCCTCTCAAGGAACCAATGGAGTCTGTTGGTTGTGTCCACAGATGGGGAAAATGGCCCGGTGGGCCCCTGGTTAGACTAGACCAGTGGTCGGCAAACTGCGGCTCTCGAGCCACATGAGGCTCTTTGGCCCCTTGAGTGTGGCTCTTCCACAAAATACCATGTGCAGGAGTGCACGTACAGTTGGTCGAAGTTGACTTAAAACTTTAAGTAAAGTTTATTAAGTTAATTTTAGGGAACGTTGTGGAGTGAAAGAAGATGTAGTGTCGAGGATTGAGAAAGGTATGTTGAGATGGTTTGGACATATAGAGAGGATGAACGAAAGGAGACAGAGGAAACAAGTATACAAGACGAGTGTGGATGGGAGAGTTGGAAGGGGTCGACCTCAGCGAATGTACCTCAATCAGATTGAGGACGTTTTTAGCAAAGGCCAGCTTAGGAGTACCCTAATTAAGTTAATAACAATGTACCTACCTATATAGTTTAAGTTTTAAAAATTTGGCTCTCTTGCCCTGACTGGTTTGGCTCAGTGGATGGAGCGTTGGCCTGCGGACTGAAGGGTCCCGGGTTCGATTCCGGTCAAGGGCATGTACCTTGGTTGCGGGCACATCCCCAGTGGGGGTTGTGCAGGAGGCAGCTGATGGATGTTTCTCTCTCATCGATGTTTCTAACTATCCCTCTCCCTTCCTCTCTGTAAAAAATCAATAAAATATGTTAAAAAAAATTGGCTCTCAAAAGAAATTTCAATCGTTGTACTGTTGATATTTGGCTCTGTTGACTAATGAGTTTGCCGACCACTGGACTAGACCATCAGGGCAGGCTGTCATTTCAGCTTGGATTTTTCTTGCTCCCTCATTCCATCTCCTTCTCAACACGAGTAGGTGCGGGTGACCCTGCATGAACCCAAATGAACAATTAGAGGAGTGGACACCATGACTAGAGGGGCAGACCCACTCTAGGAATTAGTTCTACACATTCTGCAACTTGACTGTTTCTCAGGTCAGACATTCTTCAGATCTGTAGGAGAGGGAAGGGAGAGAGTCAGAGAGCAGAGTCCAGGTAAGTAAAAGGCCTGGGAGCACGAGCAGCAGCAAATTCAAATGCCATCCACAATGATCGGCGCTCAGATTCAGGTCTCGCCAGGTCAATGCGCTGATGGAAGGAGGTTCCACTGGAGTCAAAGAGTTGCCTCTGGCCAGGCCCATTTCTCCCCTGGGGAGCGGCGGACCTGCAGCAAAGGGAATTTGAAATCGCGTCCCACAAAATGAGTAAGATCAAACACAGGCAAAGGAGCCATTCCTTGGATCTCTTTGAGTTCTTGTATATTACTATCCAATAATGGGTGGGCTGTACCATTCAAAAATGGGCACCGATTCTAAAAATAATAACCTTTTTATTAAAAAGCTAGGCTGTAATTTTTTTCAGGGGTCAACTGGGTACCACGCATATTACCACAGAATCCCTTTAGGATGTTGGAATGAGGCTGGTTTGTGCTATTACAGGACAAGAGAGGCTGATGTTTTTCTTCCTCTTTCTGAGGCTGCGGTGGATCAGCAGGCTTTCGAAGCTGGCGACTCTGTAACAAACATGATACCCCACTCCATGGTGTGGGGCTGTTTTTCCAGGAGTGGGCACAGATGGTGTTTCTGTCTCCTCCAGAGAATATTTTCAATGTAAAGTGTCTGAAATAAATTCTTCAACTGAGGCCAAAACAGTCTTCTGGAAAAAATCATATGTGAATAGGAAATAAGAACAGCCTGGCCTGGCGGGGGCTGAAAAAAGTTAAAATGCAGCTGGCTTTTAGAAATGGTAATATTTGTAATAATGTTTGTATTGGGAATGTAATGAGACCTGGGATTGTGGAAGAGAGCCCTGCTTTACCCAGGAAATTTAGTGATTGTCTTCTCTTCCTTTCTCTCCTTTTCCCTCCTCTCCCCTCCCCTCCCTTCCCCTCCCCTTCCCTCCCCTCCCCTCTCCTCCTCTCCTCTCCCCTCCCCTCCCCTCTCCTCCTCTTCTCTCCTCTCCCCTTACTTCCTTTCTCTCTCCTCTTCTTTTCCTTCTCTCCCCCCTCCTCTTCCATCTCCCCCTTTTGCCATCTCTCTCTCTCCTTCTAAAACTTTTATGAGCAAATCAATTATCTGGGATTTTGTTAAAGTGCACGTTTAGACTCTGTAGGTCTGGAGTGAGAGCCAAGGTTCTGCATTTCCAACAAGCTGTCCAGTTAGGCAGCCACTCCTGGTCCACAGATCATACTTCAAGTGCCAAGTGCTGGAGGAAGTTCCGCTGAGTTATGTAATGGAGTAACACCATGCTTTGTCGAGCTAGTGAATTCGTTATTTCATTAATTCCTTCAACAAGTATTTATAAGAATGCTTTATGCTGGGCACTGAGCTGAGTGTTGGGGATAAAATAATGAGCATAACAGACCCCATCCCTGTCTTTGTTGAGCTTAGAGCAGGGGTGGGCAAACTTTTTGACTCGAGGGCCACAATGGGTTCTTAAACTGGACCGGAGGGCCGGAACAAAAGCATGGATGGAGTGTTTGTGTGAACTAATATAAATTCCAAGTAAACATCATTACATAAAAGGGTACGGTCTTTTTTTTTTTTTTTTTTTAGTTTTATTCATTTCTAACGGGCCGGATCCGGCCCTCGGGCCGTAGTTTGCCCACGGCTGGCTTAGAGCCTAGTGTGTATGGTAAACATTCATCAAATAACCACATATTGAATATAATAGTACAACTATATTCAACCCAAAGAAGGAGTGATGAGATCTTAAAGTGGGGTGCCTTCATCGCGGGGCTAAAGAGGCCCCTTGAGGAAGTGATACTGAGCTGAGCTAGGGAGAAATAACAATAATTGTTATAATAGCAAGCAGCTAACCATTGTTGAGCATTTACGTTGGGCTGGTACTTTATTATTCCTTCACATTATCTCATTTCATTCCCATCCAACCTTGTAGGGTAGGTGCTCTTATCATCCAATGTTAGAGGAGAGAACTGAAGCTCAGAGAACTTACACACAAGGTCATACATCTAGGACAGAGCAAATTCAGGACCCCAAAGCAGGTCATACATATTCCTCATGCCTCCACTGAACTGCTTTCGTTTATCATCTAGGACCTTAGCTGGGAGACCCTTGAATCAATTCAGTCAACGGAATGGGCGGCTTTGCTTCTTGTAACAGCTCAGGGAGGAGCCAGGGCTGCTCCTGCTGAGGTGACGGACAGTGATGGACGTGGCTGGGAAGCACTGGGCGAGGTCAGGAATAGCAGTTTGGGTTCTAGCTTTGCCAATGCCTCGCTGTGGCCTGGACAATGGTCATGGCAGTGACCACTTTTCAAGCTTAACAGATGATCATTTCAAGTTTTCAAGATGCTTTTGTAAGATCAGAGTTAAGTTTGCAGACCTGCATTTGACAGGTGAGGAAACTGCAGGCTGAAGAAGCTAAAGTGGCACCGTTTGTAAGGGGGAGCGGGAGGGCTGTGAGAGGGCGTTCACCTAGCGCAGCAGCCCTCAGAGGGTGGCCTGTGGACCTGCCATCAGTCATCATGCCCAAGGCCTTTCAGGGGACTGTGTGGTCAAAACCCTTTGCACAATAACACCAATACACTATTTACCTTTTCTACTGTGTTGACGCTTGCACTGCTGGCTCAAAATCAATGGCTAGTGAAACTGTTGGTGCCTCAGAAAAAGATTCGGTTTGTTATTAATGATGTTAATTGTCTAAGTGGAAGTAACATTTTCCCTGGAGATATGAGGACTTCTGTGAAACACACACACAAAACAATGAAATTTCAGAAGATAAAACCGTAACTGGACACATACGCGATCTCCATGATCATAAAGGCCCCTGGGACAATAACCTGAAAGTGTTTGCTGCCTTTAATACAGTTGGGGCTTTCAAGCAAAAGTTAGACTATTGGAAAACTTGTTTCTGCCACCACGATCTTGTCAACTTTCCAGTTCTTCAAGCCTTTTTAACATGAGAGCAGTGACATTAATGAACTAGTTTAAAACTTTTTTAGAAGATCCGCAAAGCTTGGTGAACTAGTATCTTCCAGCTGTCTAGTGCATACGGTTAAAAAAAGTCATGCCTGGGTAGAAGAACCATTGTAAATACAAATGGGTTTTACTATAACAGAGGGTGAAGTTCATAAATATAGCTCCAGATTCTACATTATAATTAGCCTCTACAAAAATAGGACCTGTCAAGTTTTGTGTACTATCAAAGAACAGCGATTATTCCCTGTAAAAGCTATTGAACTGTTCCCTTCTCTTCTAGGCATAGATGTATGTGAAGCTAGATTTTCCTCATACGCTTTAATCAACACAACATATCCTGGCAGACCGAAGGCAGAAGCAGGCGTGACCACCGCACTGTCTTCTATTAAGTCAGACAGTAAATGTGGAACAATGCTTCTCTTTCTGCCAAATGTTATTTGTTTTGGAAAATATAATTGTTTCTCTTAAAATATGTTATGTTAACATATAATGAGTTTATTGTTCGTTTTAAATGAGTTAATGAAGAAATAGTTTTAAATGTCTTAGTTGAGATTTTGAATACAATAAATATTGATAGGTATGACGCCCATAAACAAAGCCGTGTGGAGTCCTCACTCTTTTTAGTAGTGAAGGGGGTCCTGAGACCAAAAGCTTGCGTCCTCCTGGCTGGCACCATGTGCAAGAACCTGGACTCTGAGCCGGATCTGCCTGGGGTCTCGCCACCATTTTCTAGGACATGAAGGGCCTTGGGAACATTATTCTCAGCCTTAGTTTTCCCATCTGTATAATGGGAATAAAAACAGTAGTTTCTGTCTCCTAAGGTTGCTAAACAAGTTCATACCGGTTAAGTGCTGAGCACGTGGCCTGACGTGTTCGCTCCTGCCTGGTCCTGGGATGAGTGTTCTTTCTGCTCAGTTCACTTTTCTGAGCATCACTCTCCTCACTTCTCAAACTTATTAGTCGAGTCCCTCAGCTGAGGCCTGCGTGCTTGTGCAGATCCATTCCCTGCTGATTAGAAACACAATAGGGCAGCCTTCTGGCTGGAAACTGGTGCCAACTTAGAAAACAATGCTGTGTAGCTCTGCGTGGAGGTCACTTGCACTGGGGGACAAAGGACGCTGTTTTAAACGCGTAATTCACTCTG